GCAAGTCGTTTCCCGTGTTGTTACGAACTGATATAGTTGGTGTTTACGTGCTATTAAAACAGCTCCCAGTTTGTTCTCGGATGTTATTAGTAACTAAATTGCTGCCATCTATCTGAAATCGGGTATGATGGTTCTTAGTCAATCGCGCTCTGGGAGCACTCCAAACAACAGAGATGAGAAGCAGGACGTCTATAGCAACATGGAGGCACCCCGGTTGTATACCTTCTCGAATCCGGAGTAACTCAGTCATGTCAATTGCATAACGCACAAAACGTGAAGTTTCATAAATGAAGTGCACAATTTCGCGTTTTCAGGAAGTTGCGCAACTGGGGCATATATATTTACGATATAAACACAAACAAAAGACTACGGAAGACAGTAATTCTACCTATGTGGTTGAATTATATTTTTACAAATGTCTTACAAACTTACAAATGTGTAGTCAATAACCACTTTCAACTGCATTTTTTTAAATAAAGTGTTGACAGATTGGTTGATAGATGACGAAGGACATAGAGGCCGGAAGAGTGATACATGGATGCTGAAAATATTTAATTGTCTCGCTTTTGGTTCATACTAAAACGTTATCTTTAAAGCCCCTGCTCGATTTCAAAACGTCATCTGACTTTCGAGTGTCGAATCTTTCAGGCAAAATATCACACAATAGCAAAAGGTGCGAACTTCCTTTCATAAAAAAATTAAATAACGCCCGCGCCGCTTTTTTTTTTTTTTTTGGTGGGGTTGGGGGGGGGGGGGGGGGGGGGGGGGACGGAATTGAAGGAAGGAATGCTCAAACCACGAAGGGGGTCGTTTCTACGTCGTCTTCGTCGTTTTGAGCTGTTTTCACTGTGTTTAGTGATTTCAAATTGATCTACTCCCGCTTCGGAATTTGCATTTATGAACGTAACAAGGTCGCAGTATATAGAGAGATGGTCGTTAGGATGTCTACCTGCGTGTTGACAATCAATTTAGCAACATGAGCCAAATAGGATGAAACACTGCACAAAACATGAGAGCGAAAAAAAAAGACATGTTTCCGCCCGGGATCGAACCGGGGACCTTGCGCGTGTGAGGCGCACGTGATAACCGCTACACCACGGAAACAGATAGTAAACGCTTATTTAAACATTTACCTCAGTATGTAGCAAGCCAGCGTACAGTAAAAAAACGTGAAAAAAACGTGTTTCCGCCCGGGATCGAACCGGGGACCTTGCGCGTGTGAGGCGCACGTGATAACCGCTACACCACGGAAACAGATGGGTGATTTCATTTGAATTCGACCAAACTTGTCGGGGGGGGGGGGGGGGGGGGGGGTCTTTAGATTTAATCGTAAAAAATATATATGATACCCGAATCCTTGTGATGAAAGAAACTGCCTTTGAAAAAAATTAGAATTGTATAGTTTGAGAGAAAAAAATTCTGAGGCGCTGCAGGGTAGAACACGTCAAATTCCCAATTTGATTTTATCTCGACTTCAGCCGCCATTTACAAAATATCGAATTCTTGCAGAGTTATTATATTTATTACGCAATATTTACGCAGACTTCGCTATTTTTAGAGGTAAATTTCTGTCTTCTGTTATTTTAAATTAATTTTCTAAAAAATCTCAAACATGCAACCTAGAGCAAGTGTGACGCAACTTCGGACAGCTATATAAAACGAACGGTAGGGCGCAATGACGTGAGACAGATATCTGTGCTTAGCTATCAATGTAAGCTATCGATTGACATGTATTTTCTGGTTATTGTGTTTACCGTGTTGTTTTTATTCTGCCACAAATATAGACAAAAATGAAAAATATGCAAATTTTGAAGTCAATTTTCTCAAAAAAGCCATTTTTTATTTCGTTCATACTTTTTTAATTTATTGCCCAGATTCTGCTTAATAACCGGGTATAAACATTGCTTGACCTTTTTTTGTTGTAGTTTTAGGACAACCAGTTGAATAAGTCATTTTTATCGCGTAATACCAACCTCCGGCTCCGGTATGCGGGCTTCACCGCAACATTGATAATTGGCTCAGCAATATCAGATTTCACTGACAACCACTTTACCTCATTGCATTCCTAGTAATAGGAATGCATGAACCTCTGTGGTGCACGTGCGGAACTCTCAGATGATCTACGGCTTTGTTTTGTTTTGTTGTTAAAGCCTCTTCTTGTACATTTGCGCTTCTGTGAAAAATTATGTGTTTCTATAGGTGTGCCTTGTTAACCCAAATAAATTACTCAATAAATAGAGTGATTTTGTTAAACTGTTACTTATGAATGTTTTATTGCATACTGCCAACAAAAGAGTATGATTACTGTAAGCTGAAAAGCAACTTCCGATATGCTGTGCGTAGCCCAAAAAATTTAAACGTATGCAACAAGTAGTCCAAAAGCCGAAGGATGGACAAAATGTAGTCAATTTTTTTTTTCACGTACCTCGGAATACTAAGGGCCAATGAAGGATAGGCGAAAGAATGCCATGCGGTAAATTAAAAAAATTCGAGCCGATTTTTCGATAATGTTTGTATAAAATAAAGATTGTCCGAAACGCATAAACGGGGATATTGTTTCTCTGGACTGGATAGTGCCGTAGAATGCAACCCGACATGATCGAAACGGATGAAACGTCTTGGATCTCTCCACTCGCTTAGGCTAGTTAACATTGATGTTAACTAAATTTACTTTTGTTGTTGTTTATCATGGCACAATGTTCAAACAAATAATTTAAATATATAAGTTTCGTGCAACCTCAGTAGTAAAACGTTGTCGTGGCGACGTTCGAAAATGCAAGCTGTGACTTCGCAGACATCACTTCGTCAATTCAGCCATCTCTCATTTCTTTATGACGTTACTGATTTTTTTAAAAATATATTAGTAAAAATTCAACAGGGTAAAGTAGTTTTCAGTGAAATCTGATATTGCTGAGCCAATTATCAATGTTGCGGTGAAGCCCGCATACCGGAGCCGGAGGTTGGTATTACGCGATAAAAATGACTTATTCAACTGGTTGTCCTAAAACTACAACAAAAAAAGGTCAAGCAATATTTATACCCGGTTATTAAGCAGAATCTGGGCAATAAATTAAAAAAGTATGAACGAAATAAAAAATGGCTTTTTTGAGAAAATTGACTTCAAAATTTGCATATTTTTCATTTTTGTCTATATTTGTGGCAGAATAAAAACAACACGGTAAACACAATAACCAGAAAATACATGTCAATCGATAGCTTACATTGATAGCTAAGCACAGATATCTGTCTCACGTCATTGCGCCGTATACCGTTCGTTTTATATAGCTGTCCGAAGTTGCGTCACACTTGCTCTAGGTTGCATGTTTGAGATTTTTTAGAAAATTAATTTAAAATAACAGAAGACAGAAATTTACCTCTAAAAATAGCCAAGTCTGCGTAAATATTGCGTAATAAATATAATAATTCTGCAAGAATTCGATATTTTGTAAATGGCGGCTAAAGTCGAGATAAAATCAAATTGGGAATTTGACGTGTTCTACCCTGCAGCGCCTCAGAATTTTTTTCTCTCAAACTATACAATTCTAATTTTTTTCAAAGGCAGTTTCTTTCATCACAAGGATTCGGGTATCATATATATTTTTTACGATTAAATCTAAAGACCCCCCCCCCCCCCCCCCCCCGACAAGTTTGGTCGAATTCAAATGAAATCACCCAGATAGTAAACGCTTATTTAAACATTTACTTCAGTATGTAGCACTAGGTGCCAACAAGCCAGCGTACAGTAAAAAACGTGTTTCCGCCCGGGATCGAACCGGGGACCTTGCGCGTGTGAGGCGCACGTGATAACCACTACACCACGGAAACTTTTTTTTTTTTATTTCTTTATTGCAGGAGGAATGCAAAAACGGTCATGTCACTTTAAAAAAAAATACTCTGCAAGACTTATTGTAGGGTAAATTAAAATCCTCGCATTTCGAGGAGCGGTTCACAAATTTCTAGCCACTCGGGTTTCGTTTTACGGTTTGAAAAAACACTTTCCACTTGCTTAACAAGGCTGAAAAAATAATGATGCAATGATCCGAAAAAAACACTGGTGTGACGCGATACTTTCTTACCATTGCTGCCGCGGAGGCCGATACGTATACTCTATCGAGGCGCGCATGAGACTACGCTTGGAAATGGGTGAAACGAATCTCGCTCGTTCCATTCGTCACCGTTCCGGCGTCAACCAAGTCCAAGTCTTCAACCAGTTCGCTTAAAACTTGCGCACTCTTGTCACTGCTCCGCCTCAGGGGCGTTCTGTCTGCTGCCCTTACAACGCAGTTAAAATCGCCCAACAACACAATCGTTTTATCACATTCTAGAAAATGGCGTAAGCCAATAAAAAAGGAAACACGGTCTTTAACCGTACTAGGCGCATGCACACAAACAATTCGCCACTGAAAAGATGCCAAAGAAAAATCGCACATGATGAACCGCCCTTCCGTGTCGGTGGTTACAGCTAACTCCGACAAGGGCAGGGACTTTTTAAGAAAAAGAAAACATCCGGCAGAAAAACCAACCGCGTGGGTGACACAAACTTCGTACGACGGCAGAAAAGGCCTAAGCGCACTAGCAACCTGTTCCTCCTCAGCCATTTTAGTCTCTTGCACCGCTTACACCACGGAAACAGATAGTAAACGCTTATTCAAACATTTACTTCAGTATGTAGCACTAGGTGCCAACAAGCCAGCGTACAGTAAAAAAACGTGTTTCCGCCCGGGATCGAACCGAGGACCTTGCGCGTGTGAGGCGCACGTGATAACCGCTACACCACGGAAACGTTTTTTTTTTTTTTTTTTTTTTTTTGTGTCTTTACTACCTTTATTTCAACAGATAGTACGAAAAACATTCCCAACAATGACAACCTAGAGCAACTAGATAGTCCTTGGACTGCGACTCAGTTTAAAATTGCTTCATCGATACCAGCCTGTCCAGTATAGGCACCCACTCAGGCTTTTCGGTCAGCGTTTCATACACTTCCCTTACATAAATAGCACTCTCAATTAAATATTCCCTTGCTTGACGGGGGTTAACATCAGCATTTCGTACAGCCATCCTAGTCCTCCATAGGCTGTGGAGGCCCAACAGCATAAACATGTCGTAAGGCACACCCCCTTCGTTGTCGACAGATAGGAATCGAATACCATAATTTGTTAATGGTAGGTCCTTCTTCAGGGTACGTTGCAGAATGTCCCACAAAAAAACAGCATCCCAACAGTCCAGGAAAATATGTTCTACAGTTTCGGGTTTTCGACATAAGAGACAGTTAATAGACCATGGCACAAAAAGGCCTTTTTCCTGCAGCCAGGGCTTAACAGGGAGGGTGCCACTGTGTAGCTGGAAAAAGAAGGTCTTCACAGTTGGCCTAACCGGCATTCTTTTAACCCTTTTTAAAACATCTTTTCCTGGGCCTTCACAATATAAGGAGCGGTACAAAGGTATTGGCAGCACAGTGTCAACCAGATCTTTATATAAGCGCTTCCGATCGACAACACTTAAATACTCCAATGAAAACCGTACTTTTAAAAACTGAAAGGCTCTGACCACTTCATACAAAAAACCACGTAGTCCCACACGTTGAAAGGTACTAGTAGATACAACAAACTCGGGTAATGCATCACACAGCCTGACCTGCAGAACAGTTCGCAAGAAATCATCTTTTTGATCCCGAAGAAAAATAAAACGAGAAACCACCTGCCGAAGGAACAAATGAACAAGCCCAATCCCACCATTTCGCGCAGAACGAAACAAATTAGTACGACTGCTTCGCTCCCAACCCGAACCCCATACGAAAACCGCAAACACCCTATGTAACCTCTGAACATTCACTCTCGACATCGACAGCACTTGTAGCACATACCATACTTTTGCCACAATAAACAAGTTGCAAACTAATGACCGCGCAAACATTGAAAGATCTTTACCACCCCACTTTGCTGTTTTTGCCCGTACTTGCTCCGTCTGCTCCCTCCAATAGTCTCCGGTGTCACGATAATGTTCTAGTGGCACGCCAAGGTACTTGGGCGGCAAAACAGTAAAGTGAATGTTTTCAAAAATAGCTGGCGTGGATTCCCAACAACCGTGCCAAAATCCAACGCATTTTTTCCAATTTATGGCACTACCTGCCATCTTACAAAACAAGGCAGTTTCTTTCACAACCTCACTAACACTTTCTGTATCCTTACAAAACACAGCTATATCGTCTGCGTAAGAAAGGAGCTTGACTTCACTTGAAACCAGCCTAAAACCACGTATCCTTTGACTATGAAGGATCTTTAAACAAAAAGGCTCGAGATAAATGGCGAACAACAGAGGAGATAAAGGGCATCCCTGTCGGACCGAGGAGCGAACTTCCAATTTTTCACTCACTTCCTTATTGACGATTAGGCTTGTAAAGCACTTTTCATAGGACATTTTTACACCATCTAAAATAACTGAACCTACATTCACGTGTTCCAATATCGAAAAAAGTATATCGTGCGCTACCCTATCAAAGGCCTTTTCTAAATCCAGTTGCAGCATGGCCACTCTACCGCCGAAAGCGTCACAGCACTCTAAAATACTTCTGGCCACGTGAATATTTGTAAAGATTGTGCGCCCTTTAATGCCACAGGTTTGGTGAGGCCCAACAATGGATGTTATTATAGTTTGCATTCTTCTCGCCAAAATTTTCATAAAAATCTTATAATCTACATTGGTAAGGCTTATTGGGCGATATGACTTAACCGATAATTGTTTTACAGGGTCTTCACTTTTGGGAATCAAAATGGTATGGGTTCTCCGGAAAGATGGTGGCATTTCTTTTACCTCGTACGCTTCTAGTAGCACACGGTGTAGAGCCTCAGTCATAGGTTCTTTAAAAGCCTTGTAAAAAGCTGCTCCCAAGCCATCGGGTCCGGGAGACTTTCCTGTGTTTAGATCATCAATAGCTCTTTTTATTTCTAGCACACTTATCGGCACTTCGAGGGCTGTCTTAACCTCTTCATTTAATTGTGGCATTAACGGTAAAAACTCTTTTTCAAAACCACCTTCAACACTTATTTTGTGCCCTAAAAGATCTCGATAATATTCAAAGAAAGCACGTTTAATAATCTTTTTATCACGGGTGATTTCGCTGCCGTATTGTATCTCTTTTATTTCGTTTTGTATTGCATATTTTTTTTCATCACTCAGTGAGCGCTTAGTCGGTGTTTCTCCCGCCCACAATCGTTCGGCTCGAGCTCTTATCACAGCTCCTCGGTAGTTATCTGCATCGATAAGCTCTAGTTTGCTCTTGACTTCGCTAATTTCTTTCGTAAACTGTCCCGGTTGAGCGCTCTCCATACATAGCAGAAACTGGAGCTGACATTGCAGTTCTTTTTCTTTTGCCCTTTCTTGCCTTTTCAAAAAACTCGCCCGTTCTATCGCATTAATTTTTACTTCTTCCTTAAATAGCTCCCACAATGTTCTAAAGCTTCCAGTCTCAGCCTCCAGCAGCTTTTGTGTGCTTTCCTTCACTCCGCTCATGAAGGCCTCATCTTTCAAAAGCTTATCATTAAATTTCCATAAATCCCAGTTAAAGGCCTTTGTATTTTTTTTAGTTCCTAGCGTGAACATTACCAAGCTGTGATCACTGAAAGATACATGTTTAACGTCATAGTTCTGGCAGAGTGGGACAAGTTCTGCTGATATATAAGCCCTATCAAGCCTGGCGTGGCTTGCGCGTTGGTGATGCGTGAACTGGGGTACATTACTTTTCGACAGAACCCACCCAACGTCCTCTAAGTTACATTCTTGCACTAAGGTATTCAATAACATCGCGCTCTGATCACGTATCGGCAACTGCTGTACTCTATCTTCTGGAACGCACACACAGTTAAAATCCCCCAGGAAGATAATAAGTTTATCAGAGTTAAGATAGGAGGCCACTTGTTCAAAAAAAATACCACGTTCACTTTGCTGATTTGGCACGTAGACACATATTATACGCCATTGCTTACCGGAAAAGGAAAAATCGCATACAATCAAACGCCCATTAGTACAAACAACAACAGACTCTACCACAATTCCTACGGAATTGCGCAAAAATAAAGCACAACCGCCAGATCTACCAACGGAGTGGCATACACATACATTATAGCGAGCGCTGAAAGGCTGAAGCATACGGCTCGTTTGCTCTTCGCTCTCTGCTTTCGTCTCTTGCACAGCCACTACGTCAAGGTCGTTATCCAGAAAAAGGCGGCTAAGTTGGTACTGCCTGCGCCTGGCCGCCAGGCCCCGTACATTCAGCGTGGCGACACGTAGGGCTGTATCGAGATTACCTGCCCTTTCTGAGCGAGTAGAACGGAGCTGCTTGGTGCTCACCTCGGCTCTTTGAGAGACGCCTAACGACTCACTGTCCCGAAGCGCTGGCCGGCCATTTTCGCCAGCCGAAAAGTCCAAGGCGCTGCAGGAGGTCTCCGTCTCGGCCACGTCGTGTTTACGTCCCTCTAGAGTTCCGAGTGCCTTGCAGAGCGCGAGGCCTCACTACTGCGTGGGCGGCGTCACCATCGGACTTCGGTCCGGTGGTATGTTGGGCTTGGGTCTCAGGCTTGACCGCCGCGTCAGAGGCGCCTTCGGGGGCGGCTCATCGGGGGCAGCCGCTCCGGAGTTCTGGCTGACTTTTTCACTAAGTTCACGGGCCCGCTTGGGGACCGGGGCCGTGGGGACCTCTGTCTCGACGTCCTTAGGTTCAACCTTGTCAGTATGCGGCGTCTCGATAGCTGAAGACTTCGCCAAGCCGACGTTTTCCACACTTGGTGCACCGCCCGCCGACGTCCCCGCAGGTAGCCTACCGCGGTCACCGTCGCTTCGGCTTTCGTCACTGCTCCCCAAAGGGCCAAGGGGTGCTGGTGCCTGCTCGGGTAGCTGACTCGCTCCTCCGCTGGCAGCTTCCTCGGCGTCAGCCACGTCCATGAGGTGCTCCGAAATATCGTCGCTCCTCACGGGCCCTGCGACGCTCGCGTAAGTGCGGACGCATTGGCTCTCACTGTGGCCGAAACGCCTGCAGGACTCACAGCGTGGCACTCTGCACTCCCGGCGTATATGGCCCTTGCCCTTACACCGAAGGCAAAGCGGCGCCCTGCCCGGCACCACCACCAACACCAGGTCGCCAGCGATGCGCAGCTGGTGAGGGATGTCCTCCACCGTGACGCCGGCTGCCAGCTTGAGGGTCACCGAGCGTGTCGTCGACTCCATGTCCATACAGCCTGGCACGTGCCACTTGTCTCTTGTGATCCCCGTCACCTTCCCAAAGGGCGCCAGGGCCACACGCACTTCTTCATCTTGGACGTGGTGCAGCAGCCAGTGGAGCTTGAGTCGCGTGTCCTGGTTATTCGGGTCCACCACGACACAGCGGCCTTCCTTGACTGTGAAGCCGTCGGTTGCGAGCAACTTCTTCTTGCCCTCGGCGCTCCTGAAGGTAACAGCCCACACGTGGTTGTACTGGTACGCCCCCAAGGCGAGCACTTCAGGGAGAAGTGCCGCACGGGCCAAGGCGTCTCGGAAATGTTCCAGGCGGTAGGGCCGGGCTCGCACATCGGCGTGTAAAAAAATCGTGTTCTGGACAGACGAGCCAGTAGGCAGCGTAGGCATTGTCACTTCGTAGTCCTGCGATGCAGAGTCAGCGTTCCTGCTTCCGCGGCCGGAAAGGGCCGCTGATACCGCTCCGACGGAGCTCATGATAAGTACGTCCGATCTGCTCGGCAGCCGGAAGTCGAATCGCTACACCACGGAAACAGATAGTAAACACTTATTTAAACATTTACTTCAGTATGTAGCACTAGGTGCCAACAAGGCAGCGTACAGTAAAAAACGTGTTTCCGCCCGGGATCGAACCGGGGACCTTGCGCGTGTGAGGCGCACGTGATAACCGCTACACCACGGAAACAGATAGTAAACGCTTATTCAAACATTTACTTCAGTATGTAGCACTAGGTGGCAACAAGCCAGCGTACAGTAAAAAAAACGTGTTTCCGTCCGGGATCGAACCGGGGACCTTGCGCGTGTGAGGCGCACGTGATAACCGCTACACCACGGAAACAGATAGTAAACGCTTATTCAAACATTTACTTCAGTATGTAGCACTAGGTGGCAACAAGCCAGCGTACAGTAAAAAAAACGTGTTTCCGCCCGGGATCGAACCGGGGACCTTGCGCGTGTGAGGCGCACGTGATAACCGCTACACCACGGAAACAGATAGTAAACGCTTATTTAAACATTTACTTCAGTATGTAGCACTGGGTCCAAATCATCACTATTGTTGCGAGGAGGTCCTCGCAACAATAGGGATGATTTGGACTTGCACAAAGGTTTAAATGAATTTGCACGGCAATTGCACTGTAAACGTTTTTTCAAACGAGCTCCTTATCAAGAGCCTTTATATAAACACAAATCCTATTGGATTCCGCCGTTGAATAAACAAAATGTTAATGTCATAAAATACATAGAGGCGGTCCAGAAAGATGTTTTATCAGCGTGTAAAAAAGACAGACCACTTAATAATTATTTAACTTATAAGGATAGACAATGCTTAAAAAACCTCACGGATAACAGAGATATCATAATAGCCCAGGCTGACAAAGGGGGAGGAATATGCATAGTTAACACAGCCGACTATGTATCGGAAGCAATTAAACAACTGAACGACACTAAGTTCTATAAAAAACTAGATTATGATCCAACACTTAAGTTTCGAGAGACAATAAAAAATCAATTGAAATACCTAGTAGATAATAAGAAAATAGAGAAAAACATTTCTACGTATCTCATTCAGGAAAATCCGAGACCAGGACAGTTCTATATGCTAATGAAAGTACATAAGCAAAATCACCCAGGTAGACCAATTATATCGGGAATAAGTACTAATACAGAGAATATTTCCGCCTTTATTGACGAACAAATTAAAAGTACTGCAGCCGGTGCCCCATCCTAGGTAAAAGACTCCTGTCACTTTCTCAATTTGATTAATGATATCCAAATAGATTTTAATACTAATAGTACGTTGCTTGTCACAATGGACGTAGTGTCTCTTTACACTAATATACCGCATGATGAAGGTATTCAAGCAGTTCTTAATATTGTTAATGAGAAAGACCTCACTGTTAGTAAAAGCGTCTTAAATATTTTTATGCACTTAGCTTTAGAGCTTAATAACTTTACATTTATGAATGAGCACTATTTACAAATACATGGCGCAGCAATGGGATCTCGCTTCTCTCCCTCCTATGCAAATATATATATGATGTCTTTAGAAGAGCGGCTACTTAACTCCTTCCCGCATAAACCGCTTTTTTATAAACGTTTCCTAGACGACATATTTATAATTTGGAATAATGGGGAAGATAAGCTCTTTGAATTTATTAATTTTGCAAACAATTTTAATCCACATATCAAATTTACGTATAAATACTCTGATACAGAAATAGAGTTTCTAGATATTAAGGTAAGACTTACTGAAAATGGTTTGAAAACAACCTTATATCGAAAACCTACAGATAGACGTCAATTTCTACATTATAAAAGCTGTCATCCAATACAAAAAAAAAAGGTATACCATACAGTCAAATGCTACGCTTAAGACGCTTATGCTCAGAAGATAAGGATTTTGATATAAAAGCTAGAGCACTAGGAGAGGACTTCATTAACCGTGGATACCCCTTACCGCTAATAAATAATTCTATATCAAAAAGTCGAGCGATCCCCCGGAACGCGTGTTTAGTAGAGCGGCCGAAAAGAAATAACCATGAATTACGACTAATCTTACCTTACCAGTCAAAACTTCCAAACATAAACAATATTCTTAGACGACACATGAATATTTTACACATGGACACAGCTTTAAAGGCAGTTATCCCTCGACCCCCTGGTATAGCATTTAAGAGACCACGTAATTTATTAGATTTCTTTAAACAGTCCCGAAACTCCATCGGACGTAGCCTGGTCCCTATTGGTTGCATCAAGTGCAATCATAACCAATGCAGTTTATGTGGGGACATAATTATAGCTAACTCTATTCGTAGCACAGGAAATAACTTTAACTGGAAAATAAATGGTACCTTTGACTGTAATTCGGAAAATGTTATTTATTTGATTCAATGTAAAAAATGCCAAATTCAATACATAGGAGAAACTAAAACAAGCATAAGAAAACGCATGAATCTACATAAAAGTCATATACGTAAACACGTTACCGGTCCAGTTTCTCGTCACTTAAACTCCGCAGGACATAACGGACTTTCTGATTTTAATTTTATTTTACTCCAGGGGGCTTTCGGACCACCAGAGATCGAAAAAATAAAGAATCTGAATTTATTTATAAATTTAATACTTTAGAACCGAAGGGCCTTACAGTTCGAAAGGATCATTGCCGCCTTTTTTTATGGACATTTAATTGAGATCTTCTAATCGGTGCCTCATTGTTTTTTTTTTCTCGCTTTATCGTTTAATGCGACACGAGCAAACGCTTAAAGGGATACTGAACCAAGGAATTTGGTGTCCATAATAAGTGGCGCACGTTCTTTCCACGAGCCAGCAGCCGCCGGTGTGCGCGAGCACAGGCAACAAAAATGACGTCACAGACCTCCATTCGTGGTTGAGATGACAGTGAAATGTATGGGCTTCGGACCAAAGGAGAATAAAGACAAGTTTTTCATCTACACAGTGGTGCCTGGTGTAAAAAGTAAGCGATGAATTGGTCTAACAAGCACGTAGCTTTCACTTGTAGAGATGAAAAGCCTGTCTTTATTCTCCTTTAGTCCGAAGCCCATGCATTTCACTGTCATCTCAACCGCGAATGGAGGTCTGTGACGTCATTTTTGTTGCGTGTGCTCGCGCACACCGGCGGCTGCTGGCTGGTGGAAAGAACGTGCGCGACTTATTATGGGCACTAAATTCTTTGGTTCAGTATCCCTTTAACATTGGGCCTCTCATTGGCTTCACATGACACCAGGTATAGTTGGCTTATGTCCAACCACATGTCCCAAAAACTGGTTTTATTATAAGAATGGAAGTAATAATATTATATTTAATTATTTCCATAGTATTTGCTGCTTTGGTATCGGGATATATTAAACTTTTAAGCGAGAATTTAGTTGAGTAGATACCCGCTAAACAATAAGCATTTTTCGAATTAACTTCTTCTTTTTTCCGGCCGTTATTTCTTTGATTGAAAGAAAAGGAGAACGAAGTGTTCTTACTTTGACTGACGAAGAGCCTACCATGCCCGAAATGTTTCACTTTCTTGGCAACCTCCTCGACCAACTCCTTTAAGGGCAAATATTTCTGTGGACATATTTCTCTCGAGTGCCGTCTTTTGTTCTCAGGTGCTGTTCCGTATATATATATATATATATATATATATATATATATATATATATATATAGAGAGAGAGAGAGAGAGAGAGAGAGAGAGAGACAATATGGAGATAAGCGAGCCGTACTTGAACAAATTCATCAAAGTTTACATAGCCGCCGAAATACAAAATATTTGACGGAGCCAAGATGGCTCATTTTTAACTTAACTCACAAACATACCACAATTTTCGTTGCGCCTTAGAGAAAAGAATTGGCACTCACTAGATCAGATGTGACAGCACCACGCTGTGAACCCTTTCAAAATTATGAGCCGAATTAAATTACAGTTTTGTTGCCGAAATTATTGCAGAACTTCGTTGTATTTTTCTTTCAAAACGCGGAGAGAAGTTTGAACAGGAACATAGAGTTTAATAGACACGGACGTCTTGAGAAGACTGACTCTTTCTTGAAATGCGTTTACATTTCAAGAAGTTTAGTCTCTTCCCGCAACGTCTGTGCCGATTAAAGTTTCGGTACATTTTAAACTTCTCTCAACCTTTTGTAACTTTATATAAAAATATATATATATTTGAAACTACTCTCACTTCAAAACGTGCATATGAAAGGCTAATAAAAAAACAATTTGTCTCTCTGCCAAGCTCGCTTTGACCAATTGATTTTGATTTTCATAAAGAAGGGGCGGCTTTCTTCGGAAGACACCCTTTCCTTAAAGGGCCGACCATAAAACATTCCGAGGAAGAAAACGCCGAATAGACGTTACGAAATGCAAGGCTAACCCAGAAACTTCAGACAACCATTTGGACGGCGAGCCCGTGGAAGACTCTTGCAGTGGTAACTGACAAATGGAACAAAACCATTAAGAGACCATGCAGTCAAGGTTGGCTGAAGCCATCAGGGAAGCTATTTCCGTACGGTGCTTCACTGTCGCCGTCTGTTTACTTGGTTCCAGCGGCGACATTAGCTCTTCTCCCACACCGGCAGCCGCCTCGCGTGACGTCACAGAGACGAAAAGGCTGCTCGCGGGGTGCCCCTTTGATGACCCTACCTTTGTTGAACATCATGCTGCACACACTTTCGTGAGGCACGAGTCGGTCATTTTTTTTATTCTTTCTGTGTAGCTATCACAATACGCGTCCCACTTGTACCGACAGGATGTGGTGAGATGTATATACATTGTGCGAAACAGTCATTCGAATTCCTGTGGTCATTGCGTAAAAACGACGCTGCCTTTTCACCGCTTTTCATGGTGTTTACGCCATAGCTGGTGTCGCAGTCGAAGGAGAATAGAAAACGAAGACACGTGTTTTCGGGGTTCTTATTTTGGCCGTAATGGCTTGAAAACGCTCAACAACGTAGAAACACTTTTTCTTTCTTTTTTTTATTAGTGTCGTGTTCTGCGGAGAGCCGATAT